GCGCTGGCTTGATAGAGCGGGGCCTAGGTAGAGGGGTAGGCCCCTGGAAGGTTGTGGCGACAACGGATGTATGTATGATGATGAGAGCATGCTGATGTGGCATTTTGGATGAGGTGGCACTGCATCGCCTTGTGGGTGGTACCGAGGCTATGACCGGTCATCGAAATGCACGTCGGCCCAATTGGTGAGAAACATGTGGTTGGGGGCAGCTATCTCCAGGTACGTTGTTCCCGTTCCTTGTCTACCTCTCAATCTCTTCTTACCGTGAGGAAGTGAGTCCAACCTTGAGTGTCCTCAGCCACTGTCTTATTACTTATCTATGGAGTGATTTTGAGCACTTCAAAAAGATATGATTATCCACCATTAGTGAGTAATGTGGGATGGTTGAGTTTACTGAGTGTTTTGATGACAATTCTATTGCTGATCAATAATCCTTTTGTATTGAGGAGTTGTGTGCGCTCTGCCATGAGAGACGACATTCTTCCTAGTGGCACATCTAGTAGGAGAGGGTAATGCCTCTGAAGGGCCCTGGTCGAAGCACGGGTTACGGTCACCATGCCAACCCATGGGAGTAGTATACGCAGGCCATGCTGCTTTGTCCTTTGAGGCTCTTTGCTGCGCTGATAGAAGGGGTGTGTGGACTAACCAGTCCTATGTAGACACTCTTAGACTGTCTATAAACATTTATGGTTGGGTCTGAACTGTCCACTGGCTGTGATCGTCGTCCTGATTGCGACGTTAAATCATTCTTAAGGACTCTAAGGGGCTGTCCTTAAATTGCCTCTTCATTGGCCAGATCAGTTAGACGTAAGGCTTGTTGCATGCGAGGATAAAGAACGGGCAGGCTGGTCATAAGCATACACCTTGGGCACAGGGGTGGGCCGTTAATGCACACCTTAGACACTGTCCCTTTATGATGCTCACAGGCACGTTGGATACAAGGGAATGAGATTCCAATTGAGGACTCAACTGGCAAACACTGGCATACCCATTGTGCATACATCTGCTCACATTAGTTTATTTTCGTTTTGATCAGTTGGTTGACAAATTGCTGACACCTAACAGACCCTAGAGTAGGACTGTAATATTCTACCATAGTCAGTTCTTCTCAAAGCTTCTATAGAGAACTAATCAGGATAGAAGTACACTATGTCTACAGTCTCTGTAGATGCTGTTGACACCGCTTGAACCGTAGTGTAGGTAACTCACTGGATAATTATCATTTATTTATTTTTAGCCCTGGCCAGACACATGTTGCGGTAGATTCCAGCGAGAGTCCTAGTGCAGACAGCGTCTGCCTAGTCGATAAGTGGATCAGTCGGGGGTGAAGGTACAACTGACGATAGGAGCCAGACACGACGAGACACAGGCAGGATACCCGTAGTGTTCCAGGTCCTACTACCAGGAGATGAAAGAAGACTAAGGGCCGAAGTAAGAGCCCGTAATCTAGAGATTGCAAGGGAAGTAGCAGCGACTGCGAAGAGAGCATTGGCAGCAGCAGCAGTCAGTGCGGTAGCAATGGCTACCTCTGCAGCATCATCTGCTGCAAACTCCCTCGGCATGCCGCGAGACTGGTCCATCTCGCAGTCCGACTCCAGTACGTCAGGAGCTGGCTCTAATCAGATGGCAGGTGTGCAGTCCAACTTGTCGCCTCACCTTACCAGGGAGAAGATGGAACTCCAGCAGGTGGAGAGAATCCGCTTAAGGTTAGAGGAGGAACTTGAAAAGGCTACTGACAGAGAGAAAGAGATTAGAGATAGAAGTGTCAGACTAGAGGGTTGGGAGGCGGACAAAGCAGCATTAGAGGGGTTAGATGACTCAGACCTTGACAACACAGCAAAGGTCTTCAAGGCGAGCATCATGTCCATGCATGCGTACATGGACAGCAAGTTGGACGCTATCCAGGACACCCTGGACCAGATCCTGAATGCCATGCACAGGCTAGGAATCCGGCCAACAACTTTGCCATCGCTGCCATTCTCAGCGATGACAGCCCCCTATGCCCCTCAGTCTGGACCACCACCAAGCGGTACTACAGCAGCAACCCTATCTCAGATTGTTGCTTCTTCATCTTCTGGTCCAGCAGCGGGTGCTACACCCCAGCGGCCACCTGTCTCACCAATGGGACAAAAACAACCATGGTACCCCAAGACCCCACTGAAACCACCCGCCACCTTCTCAGGAAATAAGAAGGAGGCTCTCGACACTTGGTTGAGAACGGTTCCAATATGGGTAAGGGCTGCGTAGCACGGCGAACGTGTTTGCGCCCCTTCACGTTCGCGCGAACATGTTCGCACGTTCGCCTGAACAGCTCGCAAACATGTTCGGGCGAACATAATTTTTTTTCGTAATATATATATATATATATATATATATACAGGGTCATCAGCCCGTACGTACGGAGGTCCCCGGGCAGACCTCCGTACGTACGGGCGTTCGGGGTCCCGTACGGGGTTCGAACCCGACGGCATTCGGCCCCCGCCAAAAATTATTTCGGGGCCTAAAACTAATTATTTTTTTCTGAATTGTTTTTTGCGAGTTCTCTATGACGTGAGGTACATGCCTGTAAATTTTCAAGTCATTTGGCTGAGCCAAAAAAGAATTAACAATCCCCAAAGATGGCGGTGTCAAAACGTGCTCTCTTACGTACTTTTTCACTTTTTACTTTTTGTTTTCACTTTAGTTCGGGGTCTAAACAATTTAATTATTTTTTGAAACTTTTTTTGTGGGTTTTGTATTATGTGAAGTACACATCTGTAGATTTTCAGGGCATTTAGCTATGCCAAAACAAAATGAAAAATTGCCAAAGATGGCGGTGTCGAAAACATGCTCGTGCACTCACTAAATTTAATTCTCTTTTTATTTTTATTTATTTTTATTATTAGTATTTGTTTTCCATATTTTATTTTTATTTCAAATTTGGTAAGGAATTCGGATGTAATGCTCAGGCAAATCTTGTTTAATTTATTTTTCTCCATAACATATATTTTTTTCAGATGTTTTTGATGACGTTTTTTTTTTTTTTTTTT